ATTGGATGGTTTTTCAAAAGACACCAGGTATCCCAGTTCTCAGATTTCCTCTTTTTTTCTCCCCCAAGTTCCAATTTTTTTTTTTAAAAAAGTAGAAGTTACAAACGTCTGCAGGCTGGTTTTGGCCGTGGGCTGCTGATTTACGATCTCTGCAAGAGACCCTTGTTCTGAGACTTAATCTCACCGTTTCAGTGGTTTCCCAGGTGACCTCAAAGTCTCCTTGCTTTGTGGAGGGGTAATGCGATCAGGGTTATTCTGCCAAGACTGAATTTGAGCATTTCACGGGGCATCTGGTGGGTGGGAACAAGTCTCCTGGCTGGCGAGCCGACTGCCAGCCCCGTGTCCTCCTGTCTCCTCTGTGACATGTGTCGCATTCATGGTAAATCTCCTGAATTGATACGCTCTTTGTTTCTCTGCAAGAGAGATGAAAGCCAAGTTCTGGTGAAGCAAAGAGAAAGTGAAGTTAACAGAAGAGAGATGGTTTTCAAGCAGAAAAGAGCAGTTTGGGATAAATTAAAATGTGCATTTGGCTTTTGCTGGTGGCACAAATTTATTGTGTGAATAAATCCACCATCGCTAGATCTATGAGGAGAATAAATCCACCCTGGTGGGTATCCAGAGCGGTGCACAAACAGCTCACCCAAGTGAACACCGAGAGCATCAAAAAGAGTTAAAAGGTGGTTACCTCGAGTGTGGTGAAGAAATGCACAGTAAACACGAGCCGGTCAGCAGAAATGTAATTCAGGAGAACACTGTGCACAGACATTTCTGGGAAGCCACGGGTGGCGAAAGCTTTCTTAGCAGAGCTGCGGAGTTGACCTTCACTCAGAGAAAGGGTGATTTAATTTTTAAAAGCATCATCTTAGCATAATCTGACTCAAAGGGCACAGGCAGCACCCAGTGATTATGTAGCCTGAGGAGGCTTGCCTCCCAAGTGAAAGAGCCATGGGGCAAGAGGGTTTGCACAGACAGCACTTGGGCCCCACTCGAAGAAAATGCCCTCCTGAATATCTTTATCCAGAAAAAGGTGAGCACCAGGCTTCCTGGGCCAAGGTCAGAGCCACCTGGCCCCAAGCACTGAGCTCCCTTGGCGGGAGCAAGAGACAACTAAGGGAGTTCATGGGTTTCAGGTTCTGCTTGTCCTGGCGCTGCCCAAGCCTACCCTCAGCAGGTGCTAGTGAATTACCCCCCATCTTGGCCCTTTATTTATAGAGTCACCTCGAGGATCTGAAGGGGGTCTGAATTTTTCAGCTCTGGTTTACTGCAGACGGTGGAGGAAACGATTTGCTTTACTGAGATTGATAGGGTTTAGAGTTGAAATCACTTTCCATCCATTCTTTTGACAGAAATTATAATGCCAGGTGCCAGGGGTATAACAGTAAACAAGGTGGGCACGGTGTCCTGAAGTAGCACAGGGCCTGTAAGGAGAGACCTTGCTGCCCTCACTGCCACACTCCAGTCCCTCTTGCAAGCAGTTCCTCCCTGTGCCAGCTCCACCCACCTCAGGGCCTTAGCACCTGCTGCTTCCTTGGCCAGAAACAGCTCCCCATATGGGTGTCCACAAGGCTCACCTGCAGGCCTTGCTCAGATGTCACCTTCCTTGACCATGTGTCTCATATAGAGTACCCCCCTCCCCAACCATCCATTGCCCCTCTAGCCTTTACCCTGGTTTGCTTTGCTTCCTGGCACTCACCACCTGCCTAGTCTGTGCCTATCTTTGCTCTACGTGAGGTATGTCCCACCCACCTCTGTGTTCCTGTACCCAATCAACACTGTCATGAAGCTCAGACACCCACCTCACTGCGGCTCGAGGACCTTCACCCTGGCGCTCCAGGGTCTCCCTACTGGCCCAGGGGAGCAGGGCCACGTCCTTTAGCTTCCTTTGCTTCTCTTCTCCTGTCCTCCCTGTGATTTCAGGGACTCTACTATGGCCCTCTCGCCCCCTTTAGCCCCCTTGAGTTTCCCTAACAGTAAGAATCGTACCCCCATCCGCTCGTTGAACAGCATCTTCTGAGCCTCCCTTCCTCTGCCAATGTTTGCTGGGCCTTCTCATCCCTCCAGCTGCAGAGGCGGCCAAGTCACTGATTAGAAAGGCAAATAAGGAAGGCGAAAGCTGCCTTGACAGGGCAAGCAAAGCCCCATCCCATTTTCAGCAGCTCCTTATTTTTCTGTGCCTGGGAGCAGCATCGGTGCAGCAGCGAGAGACAGCCCAGTGAAGTCAGAAAAGGACCCTTGCTGCTGATGGCTGGGCTGAACTTCCCACCTTCACCTCTGGGGAAGTGAACTTGCCGAGGTCTGCAAGACCAGCCCTTGGACTCTGGGCCTTCACAGCGTTTCTTTTCCTTTTTTTAAAAATTAATTTATTTATACAAGCACTGGGTACAGTCAGAAGCGCGGGAGGGTGAGAGAATTCACCAGAGCCAGAGCGGGGAGCAGAGCAGGCAGAAGGACCGAAGTACACTGCTGAGGGGAGCACCAGGCGGCAGGAGAGGTCTGCGCCATGTGGGACCCTCGCCTGGTGGCCGGGGATCGAACCGGCGCTGCAGAGGCTGCGGGCAGCTTTGCAACCCAGCGCTCAACCGCTGCGCCACTGGGGAGGCCCAACAGCATTTCTTAAAAACCAGAATATGTCATGAGCAAATAAAATTCAGGCGATTTCACATCAATGTCAGATCCTTGCTTGTCTCGGAGCCCAGTCTGGGGTGGCAGGTGGTGGCTGGGGCTGGTCCTTAGCTCCTTCTTCAGTGGGACTCAGTCCCCCACATTCAGTCTCACGTGGAGGCCCTGCCCCTGGCCCCAGGGACATTCACAAGCACAGCTCCTCTCCTGGGTGCCTGCTGTAAATGGGTGTTCCCTCATTTCAGCCCCTGGCCTCTGTTAAAACTCACAGCCTCTGTCCACCCGGTCCTGACTATACAGTCCAAGGGAGCTTCCGTGCGTTTCCTCGCCTCCTGCCAGGGCAGTTCTTGGTGTGGCTGCTGCAGCTCTCGCACAGACGTCACATTCTCACAGGAATGCAGCAGGAGAGGCAGGCGCTGCCACCAGATAGGCAGAGAGAGAACCCATGCGTTCCAGCCAGTCTGTGGCTCGATCTTTGCGTTGCTGGTAAACGACGTGCTTTGCTCCTGTGTCAGCGTCGCATCTCAGCTCAGGCATCTCTCCCTTACTCCAGACTCGAGTGTAGGTGCCAATTCGCAACTCTGCTCAGAGGCTGACATCACCCCCTGACCCGGCCTGTGTCACAGAGCCCTGGGGCACTGCCCTTCCCAACCTGCTCTCCCCACAACCATCTCAGCTCAACTGACAGCACCTTCACTGTCCACTTCCTCAGGCCCAAACCTGGGCCTCATTCTTAGCTCTTCTCCTTCTTTTGCCCCACATCCGCTGTCAGGAAGGCCTCTTGGCGCGCTTGTCACATGGATGCGGCGTCTGACGGGCCCTGCCTCCCACCTGCATGACTGCCACGCTCCTGACCTCCCTTCTGTCTGTTCTCCACTCAGCACCTGGGGCAGTCCCCATCTCATGTGGACTTCCGAGGCTCTGAACGACCTGCCCCCCACCCCCCCTCCTCTCCAGCTGTGACCATGCTCACTCTGCCTCAGCCTGGCCCTCGGCTGCCCAGATGGACTCCCTGCACCCCCTCCTTGCACGGGCCAGGGCCATGCTTCCCTGCACTCTGAGTGCCCACCCCACATGCCCTGGCTCCTGCTCTTCCTTTTCTACATCGCTCCCTGCTGTCCAGCACCCGATACTTGCTGCTATTTCTCTCGCTTCTCGTCTGTCTCCACGAGGGCAGGGGTCTTGATCTAGCTGATCACTGCTGTGTCCCCAGTGCCCAGACAGCCTGGGACACTCACTAAATATTTTCAGAGGGGATGAAATTCTATAGGTAAAAACCTTTGTCAACATCCCAACAGAAACATTTTGAGCAGTTCTACTTTAAATGGAGTTTTTTTTTTTTTTTTTAATATGGAAAGAACCCAAGCATAAGTAATGGAGAGGGTGTTAGTGACCCCCATTTGTCCATTACCTGGCCTTGACCATAGTCACTTGATGACCCATTTCACTTCATCCATACCCCCACCCTCTCCCCAGATAATTGGGAAGCCAATTCAGGTCACCGTATCATTTAATCTGTCAGTATGCTTTACTTTGTACAGCTGCGTAGTACTGGGTGGATATATCATCATTTATTCAACCAGTCTTGTTGGGTGCTTTTGCATGTCACTTTATAGTTTATAAAATTAAGTTTCCATTCATTGCCCAGAATCAACTGCAATGTTGCAGTGCTTATTTTCCTAGGAGCACAGAAGCCAGGGGCCTCTTTCAAGCATCTCCTTCCTTTTCTGTCCCCAGAAACAGCTCGGCAGCACCTCTTAAATTGAGGTGTCATCTCTTTGCACTTCTTGTTACCCCGGAAAAAAGAAAACTGAATAAACTAAAAGTACTCCAGAACACCCATCTTTCCTTCATGATATTCTATATTATGCCTTAGGGATACTTTGTTAGAGGGTGAAATTGTTTTTATGACTTTTAATTAGATACAACTTCAAGTTTAAATACATGCATCTTGTCACTCGAGATTAAGTTGCAGACATTATACCCTTTACCCCAAATATTGCATTGTGTCTTTCCTGAGATTGAGGGTGTTTCTTTCACATTATTACCACAGTGCACTTACGCTATAAATTTCAACATATTTAGCATTAATACAATACTATTATCTATGCCACCCTCACTTGCTATAAAGTGTGCTCTACAGCGATGCTGGCCCACCCAGAGCCAGTCCCAAGATCACCGCTGCATTCAGTTGCTCTGTCTACCCAGCCTCCTTTAATCTGGAAGGCTTCCCTGGCTTGCTTTGTCTTGAATGACCTTGACATTTTTGGAAAGTGCAGACCAGTTGTTTTATAGAATGTAGCTCCATTTGGGTCTAATTGATTTTGAACTGCACTTGGAGAATGCAATCTAAAGGAGCACCCCCTATTTTCTGCCCCCAGGACCTGGCAGCCGAAGAGAGAGACCCCTGTCAGCAACCCGAAAACCCATGCTAGAGACTGAGGACCGAGAAGAAGACGCCACGGCAGTGCTCCAAGCCATCCGGGTGGAGAACGAAGCTCTGCAGAGGGCGATGCTCAGCAGAAAGGCTGAGCCCCCTGCCAGCTCACTGCCAGCACAGGTGTGTTCACAGCAGAGGGACAGGACTGAGGGGGTTTGGGCTACTCAGGGACCAGGCCATGTCTGAGCAGCATGGTAAGGAGAGACAGGCCTTGCGGTATCCTTGACTCAAACCAACCTGCCTGTCCACTGCTTCACGCAGTCGCTCACCAACCTGCCCACGTTCACATTCTTCCAGAAAGCCTAAGTGGGACATTGGATTTGCTTCTAGGCTGGGTTTTCCCTGAAAGCCCTGGATACTTTAGATGGGTCAGAGAAAGTATGGGGTAACCAACAAGCTCTAGCTTCTCTGGAAAGATCTCATTCCCCAGCTCATAAGCCCCTTGGCCCTCCGCAGTCCTCACCACTCCCTACTGCCTGGCCCCTCATCGGTGTTACCTGTTCAGGAAGCCTCCGAGGCCTTCCAGGTATTTGGGTTTGTGCTGCTGCCTTTGACTTGGAGCAACAGACAAAAGAATAAAAGACAGTGTGGAGTAGGGGCCTTTGGGGAGCTAGAACCCTAGGACGAAGGTCAGTGTCCACGTCCCTTCTCAAGAGCATGCTCCCTGAACCACCTATCGAAACCCTTTGTCTCAGCTCCTCCTTGGTGCTCATTGCAACCCTGAAACAAGCTGGACTGGTTTCATCACCCCATTTACAGATGTGGTCTCTGGCACCGAGCAACAATGTGGCCTGCTCAGGTCATGTCTTGGGAAGTGAAGGGGGCAGCTCCTCCCCATCCGCTGCGCCCCGCTTCTGTGGTGGGATGCCCCTGGGGGCTTTCATCGAGCAAGCCTGTTGTCTGATTTCCTGGAGCTCTGTCCTTTGCCCATGACATTGGTATCTCAAGATGCCCCCTGCCCCTCTGAACCCTCATCTGTTGGTGGGTAGGAGATGGCTTTGTTCTGACCTCAGGTCGTGTGATTACATCATTCCAGGACTTGGAGGAGCTCCCAGCCAGGCCGTGGAGCAGTCTGCCCAAGGAGAAGGGAGAGGCCCCTGAGGTCAGTGAGGGCCTGAGGGGATCAACCAAGCCCATTTCCACAGCACCCAGAGATCTCCAGAGGGCTGTCCCCACACAGTCCCTGGTCCCAGCAGGCCCCCCTGTGCTCCCTACTGGGGAGACACTGGCTAGAATGACTTGCCCAAGGTTACAGAGGAAGCCAGGACTCACCCAGGCCTGCTGACTCTAATTCCTTGTCATGGAATTAGACTGTCTCTGTTTCCTGACAACGTAGAGATGGATCTTAGCAGACTGAATAAGTGATGATATCTCTGTCTGCCCGGATCAGCGAAGACTGCCCCCACAAATACAGACACAAGGCCAATAAAAGCCCCAGGAGTGTCTTTGCTAGGCGGTGCCAGGTCCATGCTCAGGGCATGGGGTCTAGAGCCGAGCAGCCCCTGGGCGCATGGAGCTCTCAGACAAGCAAAGCCATAAACAAACAAGGTGGCTTCAGAGAGAGAACAGTGAAAGCTGCCATTGGGCCAGAGTGTGCCTCCAACTGGTAGAGGAGGCCCCTCAGAGGGTATCCTATTTGAGCTGGTACCTGCTTGTTAAGGAGTCAGCTGGCAACAGAGAACAGCATTCCAGGTGGATGGAACAGGGTGAAGCTCAGAGATGGGAATAAGCCCAGCTTGAAACCTGACCGATGGGGAGCCACAGGGAGGGGAGAGCTGGGGTGCAGTGGGGGAGGGCGTGAGGGGAGGGGAGGAGCCGGCCCCCATGGATGAGTAGCGGGCCGGGCGGCACCCCAGGGCACTGTAATGATTTTCTTTTTGTATTGCTCCTATGGTTCTATTACTCCCAATCCTCTTAAACTGTTGCCCACCAATATTTCTAAGAGACCTGCGAAATTGCCCACCCGCTGACCCCTGACTGAGCTTCCCATGACTAAAATCATTTGCAGATCGAGAGCAGGGCCCTTTTCTGTTTAGGTGATAAGTGAAAGGAAGGGGGAAAGGCTGAGCGGGTTCAAGGGGTCCAGTGCCATTTCTGGAATTCTCCACAGAGTCCTGTTATTTTGTAGCAAACAGAACAGGGGTTCAGTTGAGATGGGAGGGATTATGAGGAAGGAAAATCTTTCAATAGCTGCCTTAGGCAATTGCTTTCCTTGGGCCTCCTAGACCATGAGAAACTGAGGTCCCTGGCTTTTTGCAAAGACTGGGTGAGAGGTTCTAGAGCTGATCAGCCCCCGTGCAGGCAGGCCACTCACGTCCCTCCTCCCTGAAGGTCTGAGAAGTATGTCCCTTTGGCCATATCTCTGCTGGGTCTGGGTGACCAGGGGTGTCACCTCGGGCATCCGTGTAACAAGCGTTCTCATCCTCAGCAGCTTCCTGTCACCACGTTGACCAGCACGCAGGAGCCGGCCAGGGCAGCAGGGGGCGCCAGAGCGGTCAGCGAGGCCATTGACAGAATCAGCCTTTTGGGAAGCAGGTACTTGGCCTGGCAGCCGCAATACAGAAACCAGAAACCTAGGTCCATGCAGCCATGAGGGTTGTATTAAAGGAAGGTTGGCTTTGCTCTTCCCAGGTTATTCCAGGCCACTTTAAACTGCTCCCTTAACCTGGGCCCTCCCTGCCTTCCCTCCAGCCCTAAAGGACAAAATTGACTTGATTTCTTTCAGGCAAATGTCTCTTTGCTTGTTCAGTTGATTCCAACCTGTGTAAAACTCCAACCTTTTCAAAGGTTTCTACCAAAGCATCTGTGCAGTGCTTGACGGTGAACTTGTTCCCAGCCAGCCTGGGAGGGGGCCCAAAGCACCATCCTTTGAACCTTCTTTTCTCTATTAAGAGTTGTTCCAATGCAGTGTTCTGTTCTGTGAACATGTAGCACCATTATTAGGACTGTCAGGTTTTATCATCAAAATAAAGGCTGCCTCGAGTCTTCAGGCAAAATTGATCTCATGCGCTAGATGGCACCTGTGGTTTCCGGGCCAGGATAGCCCACAGCCGCACACCCCCGCCACCGTGCGGACCTGGGCAGTCCTGGACCATCCAGGATGAGAGGGGCCAAAACCCAGCCGGCACACTGGTCACCGCGCCGGGCATGAGGGATTCCCTAGCCGAGCACTCCAGGTGTGTATTCACCCAGAGGTGGTTTCCTGCTCACAATTTGTAGGAAAACTCTGAATATGTTAAAGGCAGTGCTAGCCATTTCTTCTGGTGTCTGCAGACCCCAGACTAGACTCCGTGGCTGTCTTCCAGCGTGATCATTTCCCTGTAGGTGAAAGGGCTGGACCAAGAGGCTGTTTTATTTCTGGTATCATTTTATTCCTGCCACATACACATCACCCGATAATTCTCTCTTCATCAGGAACCTTGTGACCCCAAGTCTGGGGAGCTCAGCCTTAAATGGCACATAAGGGGTGCATTTGCAGATGACACTGCTGGGTTTGGAATGCTGTGTTCTCCAGCACAAGAGAGCAGAGCAGTCTCCAGACCAGAGGTGGCAAACTTTTCCAGCCCAGCGCCAGATAGTAAATACTTCAGGCTTTTCACTTTTGGTTCATTTCTCATTTGTTTTAAAGGCCACACGCAGAAACAGGCCGTGGGCTGCATTTGACCTGCCAGCTGTGCTTTGCCGATCGCTGCTCTGGGCTCTTACAGGTCACCAGGCAGCTTAGGAGGACGGCTGGCCATCTTGCCCCAAGCAGTTGTTTCTCCTTGTCTCTGCCTTTCTGTCACTAATTGTACAGTTATTTATAAAGGGAGAGAAACAGCTGGGTGCACCTTGGCTCTGCAGGCAGCGTGTGCACCCTGGGCAGGAATATTCTCTTCTGTGTCACATTTGTTATACCTGTTTGCTAAAGCAAAATCACATTTCAGACAACAGCAGAAGCTTCTGAAAGTCCTCCAGGCCCTCGAAAGTGACTCTGCCCATCTCAGCCGGGTTGTTTCACCAACTGAGGAGCAAGTGAGAGACCCTGAGGTAAGAACCTAGACTTACAGGGGTATCCAGTTGTGTTCAGTGTCCCCGCCCGAAGCCGAAGGAGGAAGGCCCCCTGGGTACAATCATTTCCATTCAGTTGGGATCGTAAATTTAGCATCCCGCTACCCACGTCTCCCTCTGCCTTCCTCCCAGCACAAGGAGTTTCAGCAGTGAGAAGCCTGTCCACACAAGAAGAACTATAAATAGCGCAGAAGCCCATAGGAAAATGTCCAACATTGCTGGTAATCAAGAAATGCAAATTAGAACAATCTTAATGTCCTATTTGATGTCTGATTTAACAAATTATTTTTGATGATAGCCTCTAATACTGGCAGCTCTAGCAAAGCTGGCAGACGCCCCGGCTGCCGGCATCATACGCTGGCACATTCTTAAAAAGCAAAAAGGTGGAATCCTATGTCGTCACCCTCCAACCCTATTTCTGACCCTAAGGAAATCACCCCACAGAAATACAAAGCTACAGACAAAGATGTCTGTTGCAGGATTATTGGAAGTAGGGGGAAATGATGAAAGAAAAACAGAAGCAAGATAGTAGTGGAGTTAATTAGGAAAGTATGATGCATCAGCATAGGCGGTGGTAATGGAAATGGCGGTTATGGAGATCAGGCAAATAGAAAATGTTCAGGATAGAAAGTTAACTGCAAAAGGTGATCCTCGTCTTTGTGGGATCCGAGGGGGTTGCTGGGACTGTGCCGGCGTCTGCCTGAGTGTGTCGATGGGGCTGGGATGCAGCCTGCAAGGGGGCGGCATCCCAGGAGAAGGACCGGGGGAGGGGCTTCTTTTTTCTCTTATGTCAAAAGATGTGAATCCTATTTGATGTCTGAGTTAACAGATTGTTTTTGAGGCATGAGGGCCTCTAATACTGGCAAGGCATGTCCTTCTCACGCCTTCCTTTACCCAAGCCTGTTTCTAGTCACTTGGTTCTGTGGTCCCCAATCTCACAACTGGTCAGTCAAGGACCTAACATGAAGCCCCCCCCCCCCCCCAGTCTCGACTAGAGCCCTGGCTTTGATCCTGGCACCTTGACTTAGAGGTCACGCGACCTCAGACGAGCCTTCTGAGCTCTCTGGCCTAGGAGTGGCTGTTGACTTGGGTCAGTGGCCCGCAGCCCCCGGCTGTGGTGAGGCTGGCACCGTCAAGGCCCAGCAGGGTGGACTGAGCGCCTGGCCAGGAGGAACCAGCACATATCGGTTAAACATCTAGAAACATCGGTTTGGCATCTAGAAAAATCAAAGCTTTGTTCTCCCCTGCCTGGAACAGTTGCTTTCTGAGCTGTGAAGATTCTTAAGTGTGGTGAAACTTCGGCCACATTAAAAAGAGCCTGGTTTGATCAAGTCTCTTTGTTGTAGGTGACAGAAAACCCAAGGCAAACTGACTGAGACAACTCAGAGAAGAAATATGATAGATTCTTGTCATCAATGCCACAGTTGGGCCCCACGGGGCTTGAGCAGCAGCTCACATTTTTTTCTTCTCAGCCTCTGCCGTGTCGGGGCACCCCTGAGCTCCTCCCTCACCTCAGTGTCCAGCTGCAGCGCTGCTCCCCGTGAGCCCTCACCCGCTGGAGTAGCTCCCACCGCTCACCCTCAGACCTCACAGTCAGGAGAAAACCAGTCTGCCATCCAGAAGCTCAATAGCTCCCACTTCCACCTCCACCAGGGAGCAGAGGCTGGTGTTTGTCCCTGGCTGACTAGACTTCAGCAAAGCCACCAGCACAGATCTGAGGGGACAGGACATGCTGATTCCTTGGGCTAGTCAGCTCCTCCTCGGGGTGGGCAATCTCCTGGCTGAGAAAAGAGGAGGGTGACTTTCCCAATGGAGAGTCAGGTGGTGGGGGGCGAAGGGGTGTGCTGGGCAGCAAGTGCCGGGATTCAGGCACTTCCCAACCAGTGTTTGCCTGCGAGCCCCTCAGAGGAGAGATCCTGAGTCAAGCAATTCAAAAGCAGGAGTCGCCCTGGGGTCACAGCACTGGGAAGCTGTGACACTTCCTGGACTAATAGACCCTTCAGCTTCCTCCTTTGGAATCGCAGCTGTAGAAATTTGCACATTTTAGATTGCCCTGGGTGCAAGACCAGCATCGCCACTGGGTGCGGATTGGCGCCCCTCTGGCCTCCAAAGGCCAAGGCCAAGAGCTCGGCTTTCTCAGGCCTCCCAGACCGCTCATCTGACAGTGGAAATTGCTCCCTAAGCTCATATTCATTAACCTCCCAATCCCCCTCAGGAGCCAGTTTAGGTTTATCATGGTCCTGCAAGACTTAGGACTCAGGCCCAGGGCAAGGGAGGCCTTGACCAGGGCCCCCACAGTAACCCCCCCATCCCCACCCTGTACTTTGCAGCAGAGGAAGAAACTGCAGGGGCTGGGGCCAAGCTAATAAAGAAACGTATTCCTTCTGGGAGCTATGCGCTGACCTCCCTGCCTCCCTCCCCATCCTAATCACAAGGCAATCAGGGCACGTCCAACACATGCCAAGAGCGATAGCACGTCTCACTGGCTATTAATTAAAAAAATAAGTAGGGAACAGTTGCTGTTCATTTGCTCAGCTCCCTGCTTACAGAACCATTGCCGATTACCAGCGCTAATTAACAGAGGGCGTGTGCACGCAGGGAATGCACCATTTTATGAGAGGCTGATCCGTGGCGACCAGTACTACTGCATTTGGGGCCCGAGGGGGCCTCAGGAAGCCATTCCACAGTGGGACCGTTTCTCGATGGCATACACCCTGACTCCCAGGGAGGCTGGCACCCCATGTCCCCCACCAGGCCAAAGGATGTGAAGCCACTCACCCTAGGCCCTCTGATACCTACTGTATTACCCAGCTGCCACCACAAAGTCCCCCAGGCTAGGACAGAGATTTCTTTTCTCAGTTCTGGAAGCTAAACTTCTAAGAGTAAGGTGTCAGCAGGTCTGATTTCTCGGGAGACCTCTCCCCTCAGCCTGCAGCCGTCTGCCTTCTCACGGTGTCCTCACATGGCCTTTCTCTGCCATGTGTATCCCTGGTCTCTATCTTAGGGTCCACATTCCATCTGATGAGGACATTAGTCAAGTTGGGCTAGGGCCCACCCTGATGGCCTCATTTTAACTTTTTTTTTTTAAACACAGGCAAGCCTGAAGAGGCCTCACAGGCAGCCTGTCAGTCTTTTTTTTTTTTTTTTTAATATTTATTTATTTATACAAGCACTGGGTACAGTCAGAAGCGCAGGAGGGTGAGAGAATTCACCAGAGCCAGAGCGGGGAGCAGAGCAGGCAGCAGGACCGAAGCACACTGCTGAGAGGAGCAGCGGGCGTGGCAGGAGAGGTCTGCGCACCATGTGGGACCCTCCTCTGGTGGCCGGGGAGCAGCCGGGGATCGAACTGGTGCTGCAGAGGCTGCGGGCAGCTTCGCAACCCAGCGCTCAACCGCTGCGCCACAGGGGAGGCCTGGCCTCATTTTAACTTAAGAGACTCTTTAAAGGCCTTCTTTCTGTGTAGAGTCCTATGCCAAGGTGCCAGGGTCAGGCCCTCAGCATCTGAATTTGGGGGCGGGGGACACAATCAGCCCATAACACCTGTCTGATTCGCAGAAGCCGTGGCACCCCTGCATGACACAGACACGGGGTGGTTAGGGACAAATGTGTGTGATGTCCAGACAGAACCTGATGTCTTCTAGACATTTTTTTATTTGCATGCTCTTATAGAAAATACAGACTATATTTTAAATGCTTTGCAAATAACAGCTCATTTAATCTTCATAATGACCCTGCGCAGTGGGCGCTTTGCTTTGTTTATATCATCTGAATGAAATTTCTCGCTTGTGCTTTTTTTTTGTTTTTTGCTTTCTTGGTTCTCTTCCACTGCCATCTTTCACACTACTTTGACCCTTTCTTTCTCCCCCTTCGCATTGAACCTCAGAAGGCTTACTTCCTTTATTAGCATCTGCTAGTTATTAATAAGTTTTTTCCTTTGTTGAATCGTCTGCAATGTAGACATCCAGTGTTTGTCATTCTGACTTGCTTTATTATATATAGTCCCCTTGAACTCCTCCTATATTGCATAAAGACAACATTTCCTTATAAATGAATAATATTTCATGTTTGGATGGACCCCATCTTCTTTTTTTTATTTCTGCGTAGAAGAACTGGGGTGCATGTTGGAGGTATAGGGGTAAGGATTCACCAGAGACAGAGTGGGCAGCAGAACAGGCAGATTGACTGAAGTACACTGCTGAGGGGAGCAGTGGGCGAGACAGGACAGGTCTGCTGCACCTTGTCTGCTCCCTGGACAGGGATTGAGCTCAGGCCATAGCAGTGATAGCTCTAAGCCTAGATCCCATCTTCTTAATCCAGTCCTCTATCAGATTGCTTCCATGCCTGGCTACTGTAAATATGCTGCAGTAAACATTGTAGAACTTATAAGTTTTGAGTTGATGGTTTCATGTTCTTTGGATTTATGCCCAAGGGTGGAATTGCTGAGTCACACAGTATTTCCATTTTTTTAAAATATTTATTTATTTATTTATTTATACAAGCACTGGGTACAGTCAGAAGCGTGGGAGGGTGAGAGAATTCACCAGAGCCAGTGCAGGGAGCAGAGCAGGCAGAAGGACCGAAGTACACTGCTGAGGGGAGCAGCGGGCGGCAGGAGAGGTCTGTGCGCCATGTGGGACCCTCCTCCGGTGGCCGGGGAGCAGCCGGAGATCAAACTGGCACTGCACAGGCTGCGGGCAGCTTCGCAACCCAGCGCTCAACCCATGCGCCACCGGGGAGGCCCCAGTATTTCCATTTTTAAGGTAAATCCAAATCGCTTTCCAAAATGGCCGCACCAGCTCACATTCCCCCCAGCAGTGTAATGGGCTCCTCTTTTTCTGCATCCTCCCAAGTACTTTTTGTTGGGGGTCTTTTTAATATTCTCACTGCTGTGAGGTGATATCTCATTGTGGTTTTGACCTGCAACTTCTTTATTAAATGTGATGCTGAGCATGTTTTCATTGGGTTATTTGGGGGGTTTTTAATTGTTAAATTGAATATAGGCTTGTGCAGTGACTGCTTTTCTTATCCTCATTGTAAAGATGGGACACCGAGGCTGTAGTGATTAAAGAGGTTGTTTAGCGGTAGAGCTGAATTCCACCTGTCATGTATTGACAGTATTGTTCTCTTTGTTAAGGGCAAATCAAGAAGGAAAGCAGAAGAGGCCAAAGACACTGTCTACGTGACCATGGAAATCTTATCCAACTGGGGCAACGCATCATGGGTGGGTCTCACGGAGGTCGAGTTCTTCGACCTGAATGACACAAAGCTTTACGTGTCACCTCATGATGTGGACATCCGGAGCACAGCCATGCCTGGGGACCTGGGCCACCTGGTCAACAGGAACTTAGCGGTAAGTGCAGGGACACTGGAGTAAGTCTCAGCCTCATATTCATGCATCTCCTCTGCCCTCTAAATCCATAAGGGTGCAGGTGCAGGCGGGAGAATAAAGGCATCTTCCACAGCCATCCATTTGGGCAGGTGGGTTCCCAGCTCATTACCAGAGGCAACCCCTCTCACCTGTGCCTTAGATTCATCTGTAAAATGGAGATAATAATGATACGTACCTTGATGGGATGTTATAAGGAGCAAGTGTAGACATAAGGAGCTTAGCACTGTGCCTGCTCTTCCCAAGGGCTAGCAAATGTCAGCTGTTGGTTTCCATTGCTATAATTATCAGTGGTATGAACGCCACTAAGAAGTAGCTCGATTTCCCACTTTGAGGAAAAGGAACGAAGGAAGGGAGGCTCTGAAATTCCCAGTTCTGGAAACCCAGGTTCTGGCCTGGACTCCGTAGCCTTCAAGCAACTTACCTGCTTTCTCTGAGTGTCAGTGTTTCTGCCCCTTTTATAAAAGGGGGGTGGGAGGAAGTGTGGATAATCCATAATGATTCTTACTTGGGCAACAATAGAAATGGAGTCTGACTTAGCTTTTTGCAAATTTGTTCAAAGAAGTGTGTTCAAGTTTTGAGATGCTGGTATGCAAACTGTCACCCCAGCAGCACAGGACGGGCCCCCCGGTTGTGCTGAGATCTAGGTGGCATCCTGAGTGCTTGAACACAAGGGTTTTGTGTTTTGGAGGGAAGGGGCGGTGTTTGTTTGTTAGTTAATTGGCTAATTACTTCTCATCCCTTTTTCCCACGGAAAATAGCTGGTCCCAGGACATAGACCAGCCTGGCCAGGAGGGCTGGGTACCCTGGTACCAATTATACCAAGATGTCCCAGAGAGGCCGGGAGGGAATCCTCCCTGAAGAAATTCAGGGTTGTCCCTGAAAGGAAGGTGGGATTGATGCTAGAGCACAGAGAAGTGACACCCGGCAGTGTTGACTGAGTGGTGTCTGAGCCTCTTAAAAACCAGCATCTCTGCAATCGCAGACCTTGAAAGTAACGGGTCCTGTAGGTCACAGCCCTGGATGGTCAGGCCTTGGGTGTCCCTGCTCTGTCTCCTGCTTGAGTCTGTGTGCGCCCCATGTGCTGCTGGGGCTGGACCAGCCCTGGCCACCCCTTCCCGTCCTCCTTGAATGGTGGCATTTTGGAAGCCTATTACACAGCACACAGCATACCAGGGGCAATAAAAAGCATCATTGAATTTGAGGGGACCAATTCTGATGATTACTCTCTCTTTCCTGTTTAGCAGAGGCTGATGAGCTTGGCCGTGTGATAGCAGTGATGGCTTTGGTTTTGGTAGATTTGGGGTTGGAACATGAGGCAGCGGTTTCATCTTGGGCCGTGGGGTTCTGGGCCCAGCAGTGAGTCGGCTGGATTCCCCCTGGTGCCCTGGTATGGGGTGTCCCTAATAGCCAGCACATGTGCCAGACCTGGGGCTGCCAGAACAATGTGTGGCCTCTCAGAACCACCCGATGGCATGGGATTTGTTAAAGCACAGTGAGCCAGCCAGAGCCTCAGACATCCCACATTTAATCTTCCAGAGAACCTTGGGGCGACTCATCACATTTTGTAAAAACCAAGTTGTGGAGAAACGCAGGCCACACAGCCATGGTGAGGTGGAGCCAGCTGAGAGCTGTGATGGTCACTGAAGTTGCTCAGTGGAGGTGACTTGGCATGCCAGAGATGTGGGAGCATCCCAGACTCAGGGCACGCCCTCCTCCCTTCGGTGCCTGCACCATCTCTCTTACTGGCTCTGTCCAGGTCTGTGGCTTCAAGATGATTCCACATTTATATGCTCAACCCTGCCCGCTTCTCTGAGTTCCTGGCTTGAATGTCAATTCTTCCTGCCTGACATTTCTCCTTAGATGCGACTGGACATCTCAAACGCCAGAGATCCTAAACCTCAGCCTCGAGTTCCCTATCCACACCACATCTCTTCCTTCTCTAATATTCCTTTGCTTGGCTGCCAGTTACATCAAGTCTCCTTTGCTTGCCCCACCCCTTCCCACCAGCTTCCTGCACACCAGCAAGTCCTCCACCTCCAACACAGAACCTGGCCCCTGGGCCCTTCTCTCTCCACTATACCTCCCAAGTCTGATCGACCCTTCCTCCTCATTGTTCAATGGCTTCCTACCTCATGTCCTTCTGTTCTTGCCCCATCCACTCTATCGTCTACTCTGTATCCAAAGTGATCTTTTGAAAAATACCAATTTGTACTCCCGCCACCCCCACTACCCCCACTTAAATCTCCTGCCATGACTTTGTATTGCACTTAGAAATAAAATCAGAGGAACTGTCATGGCCTGGGAGGCTCCCTCTCTGCCCATTTCTTACCCCCTGACTCACACACAGGGTGCCAACAGCCCCAGCCCCTCTTCTGCTCCTCTGACCTGCCTCCTATTCCCACCTCTGGGCTCTAAAATGGTGATTTCTTTTTTAGAGATGCAAATTATTTCTCAAATTTTTTTTTTAAGTACAAAGAGATCCCATGTGTCTTTGCCCAGTGGTAAGATCCTAAGTAACCATAGTCCATCATCAAATTCAGGAAACTGACATTAATTTAATATGCAGACCATCAACTCATTGGTGTGTGTGTAAATATAAGTATCTGCAGTTTCATCCTGTGTAGATTCCTGTAACCACAAGTCCATCGAGATACAGAAGAGTTACATCAACACAAAGTACCTCCCCACACATGTCCCTACACTCAACACCTCTCATCTGTCGTCTATACTTTCTGTCACTTCAAGAATGCTATAGAAATTGTATCATACCAGGCCTTCCCGGTGGCGTAGTGGTTGAGCGCTGGGTTGCGAAGCTGCAGAACATGTTCAATCCCCGGCCGCTGGCAAGGGTCCCACATGGCGCGCGGACCTCTCCTGCCGCCCGCTGCTCCCCTCAGCAGTGTACTTCGTCAGTCTGCCTGTTCTGCTCTCCGCTCTGGCTCTGGTGAATTCTCTCACCCTCCCGCGCTTCTGACTATACCCAGTGCTTGTATAAATAAATAAATAAATCTTAAAAAAAAAAAAAAAAAAGAAAGAAATAGTATCATACCATCCATGATCTGTTTGAGATTGCCTTTTTCCCTCAGCACAATGCCCTGGATATCCATTCAAATTGCTCTGTGTATTTGTTCCTTTTTAATGTGATCATTTATGAAATTGGGGCTGCTACTGAGGGCGATCCAGCATCTTCCAGTGGGTCTGTGTTAGGTTAACACTGGCAGAGAGAAACACATTTGTTTAGGAGTTAGAAAATTACCTCCTGAGAGAGGCTGTTCCTGACCATCCATTCTAAAATAGCCTTTCCATTGGCCATTCATAATTCTCTCATTTTCTTCACTGAATTTGTCCCTACTTGATGGTTTTGTTTTTGTTTTTGTTTTTTTTTTTTTCTGGGCATTCTTACTAACTTGCCTCTCCTACCAGCATGGCGCTGGAACCTGGCAGGTTAGGCCCACCCCACAGCAGGGCCTCAGTATTTGTTGAATAAGTGGGTGCCCTGGTTCCTCCTCAGCCCCTTCCCTCCCACTTTCATGCCCACCGGCTGCTCTTCCCTCTGCCAGCACTGATGTTTCTCCAGTGGAGGGTTTTTCCTTGGCCTCCAGGCCTGCATGGGCTCCCATGCAGCTCACCCAAGCTGCTGGGGAATTGGGGTCACTCAGGAGCAGCCCACGACCTTCGCCGATAGGACTTGGGGTATGAGCACACCAGCTCCCTGGCCCTGCGGGGGAGTCCCTCTGAGGCACGTTCCACGCTGGCTGCCACCTTCCCTGTGGCACTGAGCCCCAGATGCCAGTGTGATGACACTCTGCATGGCTGCCTCTCCAACCCTCGCTTCTCTACCCTCTGTCTGTGATTCCTCTGCTGTCTACACTCCTGACAATCAGTTCCTCGCCTTGGGGTCTGCTGAGAGGCATCCAAACTAAGAAGGAATTAATGAATTTAAAACTTAATTTTTAAGTTTAGATCCTTTGGGTTTAGATCCTTTCTCCACCACTTGGGTGTTGAGCAGCCTTGGGGAAACCGCACCCCACTCTGAGCTCTGGTCTTCCTTCTGTGACACAGGCGTGGCAGTGGTACTCAGTCCCAGGGCTGTGAGGGCACCGAGTGAGCTATCCGCAGCCCAGGGGAGGGACCCCATCCGTGCCCCTCCACCTCCCCTACTGCCTTTGATGCCCAGGAGCAGTAGTCACCCTACCTGCTGGCCCAGAACCAGGGGCTTTGCCCTGCGCGCCTTGGGTCAGCCCCCAGCGGCTTCCCCCTGGCCTTTCTGGTGGAGGCTCTGTCTGTGGAAAGGCAACATCAGAAGACTCAGGGGCTAATGAGGCCCTGAGTTACCAGCAGGTTAATGCTCTCTGACTTTGAGCACCACAGCTCCTACTTAGCCCTCCCGTGATTCCGCCTGCTGACAGACATGTGATGGGAAATCAATTACAGTCCCCTCGCCGTGTCCACTGGTCAGCAGCCCTCAGTCTCTTCCTTTGTCAGGCCGCCACAGTGACCCATTTTATGCCTCAACACGGCGAGAGAGTGAGACTCTCACTCGAGATGGGGTATCTTGACCCCTCGCAGCTGCCCAGAGCACTAAAAGTTCTTGCAGAGCTTGAGAAACTCGCCAGAATAAGTCAGAACCCCTTGAACTCATCTCTCCCCACCTAACAAAAGCAGCCTTCTCCCCCCTGAAAGGCACATTGTCACCGGAACAGGCCACCTTTGTTCTCCCCTGCAGCTGGAGTCTGGGCCTCGCCTCTCCTGGGGGCCACCAAACCCCAGAGTCAGCCAATCTTCGCCTTCCCTGCCTCTGTCAAGTAGCAGGCACAGTCCTGGTGACAGAAGTCTGTTGAGACCTTCTCAAACGCAGGCCACTGCTCCTTTTAGATAAGGCCCAACTCCAGCCAGTGTCAGAGATGGTGGCTGCTTATTGGCAAAGAGGGCTTGCCCAGGCTCAGCCCCAAGCCAAGACCCTAAGCTCAAGCCTGCAGGGGTCAGGCAGAGCCCTGAGGAGGGAAGTGAGGCCGGGGCAAAGACAGTCAGTCAGGAGTGGTGGGTAATCTCCACTCTGGCCCCTGCCCTAGTGCCGGCTGCCACGACTTCCAGACCCCAAGAGAAAACAGATATCTAACGCTGGGGATGGGTGGGCGGGTGGAATCACCCCACCTTTAAGTGTTGGCAATGAATTTCTTCTTTTTTTTTTTAAACAACAATTCACGAGCCAAACAGAATAACTGCAGGCAACAACCAGTTTACAATCTCTAAAACTGCCATGAGGGGACAGGTATTGGGGGGAAATTTCATGGAGCTACTCATTTAATCATTCAACAGAGTTTGGGAGGCATTTACCATGTGCCAAGGAAACTTGCTGAATGCTAAGGATTCTGGAACAAACTATACACAGCCACTTCACCTAAAGGGAGGTGGGGGAGGGCAGGTGCGTGGACTTGGAAACAAGTCCCACCAGGGGACACTGAGGGAGACGCCGGCCTGAAGAGATGCCTGGAACCTGGCCGCCCAGAGGAGTAAGAGTGTGTCCATGGGAGGGGTGACAGCTGAAGTTCCCAAAGTGAGAAGGGCTAAATGAGGCTCATCAGCGCACAGGTGCAGAGGGGAGCCTGCGTGGAGGTGTGGGGAGCAGCCGTGAGCTCGTGCAGGCTGAGAGAAGATGAGGCACCAGAGGAGACAGGCGGCGAAGGTCGCTGGGGAAAGTCTCCTGATCTGGCCTTTTTCCATCTGCACCAAAGCCCGCCAGATGTGAAATTTTGTGGGTGCAAATGGAAACAGCAGCAAGGCTCTCTGCTCCTCTGCCCCTTGGCTTGGAGCGCGGCCTTGGCAGCCTCGCTGGTGGCGGAAACTGCGCCCCGGGGTCTTGAGGCTTGGAAACCCTGAAAGGGAACAAAATCAATCCCGAGGCTTGGTGCCATGGCCCCGTCCCAACAAATGCCTGCGCCAGTTTCTTTCTTCTCTGTTTAAATTTTTTTTTTTTTTAATCCTACAGGCTTCTACAAAAGAAAATCAAAGGCTCTGCTGGCCAGATGAATCAAATAGTGCAAGTGGTGGCTCTTTTCCTGCAGTCCCTCCCTCTAGTCTCCCCACCCCCCAGTGCCCTCCTCCAAGCCAATTAAGTTGATTAAAAGAAAGCCCGCTGCATTTTAAATTCAGGCTGAAGGGCAGATTAGAGGGGGGGCCACGTGGCAGCTTCGTGCAGGGGACAAGGGTCAGTAGCCTGCTACAAAGTGCCGTCTCCACGGGGTGAGACAGAAACCTCACCCTGGATTGTATCAGGAACTGGCCTGCTTCCTGCCATCCGCCCTCTCCTGGTTTGCGTTAGTGGGGGAGTCAGCCAAGGATCCTTGGGTTGAGGCAGAAATGTGCTAAGGACTTCCCTTCTTGCTGGTGTTTCAGAGCAAGAAAGACCCCTCCCTGTGGACGTGCCCCTTCCAGCCGCCGCTCCAGCTCTTTTTTGTCATCCGCAACACGAGACAGACGCATGACTTCGGTCTGGCCAAGATCAAGGTTTGGAATTACTGGACGGCTGATGGTGTAAGTAACCTGGGGGTTCTCATTCCTCTGGGCTGGTGGACCGGCTCATCCCTCTCCAATAGCCTGGTTCCTGGAGACGCCAGAGGGGAGCCAGAGGCCTAGGGCCTTTTTCCTGGGTGTGGCTTCGTCAGAGCCCTCAGGAGCAGAGCCTCTCGGCAGGTTTGGGAAATAAAATCAGGCACTTTAGGGGGAACTGGAAAAATATGAACTGAGACTCACTTTGAACAGTGAAGAAAACAGACAGAGAGGTATGTCAGGTTTCCCAAGTCACACAGCTTGTGAGCGTCAGAGAATCCAAATCTGTGCAGACTCCAGGCCCATTTGCTTAGCCAGTGCTTCTCAGTCTTGACTTATTTTTTAAATTTTATTTATTTATTTTTTTACATCACTGTTCATTTTTGTACAGGATTTGGTTTTCCCTCGGGTGTAGTCTCCATAGTTCTCCCATCACTATAGCGCCTGTGATCCATTCCCCGCCACCTCCCCCACCCCCGCCCGCCCCATCCCTTGTACTGCTCTTCCCTCCCCCCCTTTGCTGGATACCTCTGATCTATGGTCAGCTTGCAAATTTTGTCTTTTTTTTTTTGACCTCCTGTTTGTTTTCTTTATATTCCACATATAAGTGAAACCATCCAATATCATCTTCCTTCCGACTAATTTTCTTAGCATAATCCCTTCCAGCTCCATCCATGTTGCTGCAATGGCATGAGTTTATCTTTTTTGATCGCTGAGTAGTATTCCATTGTGACTATATACCACAACGTTTTGGAAGAGCTCCTCAATCTTTAATCCCTGGGATCTTGCTAAAATGCAGGTTCTAACTCAGCAGGTTTAGGGCAGGGCCCAACAGTCTGTGTCTAACTAGCTCCAGGTGTGTGGACCAGGCTCCCAGTCTGTGCTGGTCTCCTCTTCTGTTTCAGAATCTTTCTCCTCCTTTCCACTCTCACACCCCTCCTTACACCAGGACCTCATCCTCAGCCTTTCTTCTCTAGACCTTTTTTCTCATGTGTTCACTTGCATTGATCCCTTCATTCAATATTTATCATTGAGCACAAACCAGGTGCCATCAGGTTCGTGATCAGTTCTGAGGATGCTGTTGTAAAAGACAGTCCATGCTCTGGGCACCTCCTTGTCTAAAAAGCTGACAGCCATGTAGATGTAGAAGATAAAGTAGGGTGCTGAATGCCTTAAGAAAGGTGAGCCCAGGATTTCAAACTAACAGGGAATTCCCAGGGGCTCAGCAGGAACCCAGTAGCTGAGGAACAACAGGACCTCTCAGTTTCCCTCATTTCCCTCTTTTGAAAGACCTGGGGACAAGAACTGTACTACTTTCCTTTCAAATCTGTGATAAGGATAGGAATAGTGCAGAACTGATGGGATCTGATCCTTAGCCTTGATATTTAGTTAGAGAGACACAAGGGCATGGGGGGGACTGTGGCAGATTGCAAGCTCATGCCCCAGGTAAAGGGAAGGGCTCTTTTCAGCTTCAACTGTTTGTTATGGAGAATGCCAGCCAGTGCTGCCAAAAGATTTGAACTTCCAGGGAGTTAGGAATGTGGATTTTGCTGGGAGCCTTTCTGGTTTGTAAATATCGAAGCTAATTTAAATTCTTTCAAAAGATGAGTTCAGAGTGAACTTATCTTTGGGCTGGTGCTAGCCTGACCCTCTGCAACCCTTGAGCATGGAAGAGGAAGCCTGCCTTGGGGAGAGAGAGGTCAGAGAAGATACTGGGAGTAGTGCACACCTGAGGCATAGTAGAGAAACAGCACTGAGCCCAGAGAGAATAGGAGAAAGTGTATCCCGGGTGAAGGGAGCTGCATCTGCAAAGGCATAGAGAGGTGGAAGGGCACTGCCTCTTAATCGCTCTCCCTGCTGCTCAGGCCAAGTCTCCAACCTAATTGTGACTCAGTTCAAACCCTCAGAGGCTCCCCTTGACCCAGAGGATCCAGGTCAAATGCAAATGTGAACTAATCCCTGGGCACCAGGCCTGGCCTCTCTCCCCATTAGCACCCACCCCTTGCTCATGCCCCCCTCCAGAGTGCCAGCCCTGGGTTCTCCACCTCCATGGTAGTTACGTCCATGGTCCCTGGGCCCTCCCATCTGGTTCAACTCAAAATGCACCCCTCTGCCTCAAATTCCTGGAAAACCAGGCATTACTTTCTTCAGGAAGCTGATCCTGACCAGGTTTCTACTTCTGGACCCCAGGAATACCAGGAAGATGTCCATCACCCCTCCACTGGGATGAACACCAACCCCCTTCTTCCCCCCATCCCAGGTCATCACCAACACTCTGTTCAGCATAGAAGTACGTGGTTGTCCATGAACGAATGAGTTCACCCCCCAAGCACCCATAAGCAGTTGTCTTAACCTTTTTGATGTCCAGATGGGAGACTGAGAGTGAGAGAAGGAAGTCAAACTGCAAGTTAGTGGCTGTGTTGGGTCTCAAGTCCACGAGCGTCCTTGCCTCCTCCCTCCTTCCCAGCCTTCCTATCTGGACTCCTTCCTGCTGCTGCTCCCCATCTGCACCCCACCCTGCCCTCCAGAAACATCTGCTCTGGGGGACCTGGAGGCTAAGGCAGCGGGCACAGCCCAGCCCCGGCCAGCCCTGCTCACTAGCCATGCTGCTTCAGAGAAGTGACAGGAAGTTTTCTCTGACTTGGGATTTTGAGTTTTTACAATACCTCAAGTTCAAATTGGGGAGAAAAATCTAAACCATTGAAATACATGATGATGTTTCTTTGGGCATGTCAGCCTCCCCTCTACCTACCCCCCCCCCACTTGCTAGCCTGACCCCTGTGTGCTTGGGGGGCTGACCTCCTCACTAGGGATACAGCCACAGCCCCAAGCCACAGGGGCTCACAGCCCCTAGAGCCGGGTCCTCTCATCTCGAGGCTGCCCCCAGCGCCTCGATGTTCATCAGCATCTTCTAGAACTGATAGTGAACTCTCGCTGGCTGCTCAAGCAGGAGCCCCATAGCTCAGCCCAATCATATATATCTCAGGCCAGGTCAAGTGGATCATATGCGCTGGATTGCAAAGATAAACTTCATCCCTCTTGGCCGAGGTCTGCCTTTCTTCTTCAACCTGCACTCAGCCTTCCTTGCGTGCTTAGGATAAAAACGGAGGAGCAGGGTCTCGGCACCCCACTAGATATCAGGGTGTTGTTGTGGTGCTTTGGGAGCTGGTGGCCATGGAGATTAGAGATCAAGGGGTTCTGACACCCGGAGTGGAGTGCTGCGGTGGACTGCAGTCCCTGCCAGGGACACTGCTTATGTAACGCACACCCGTGTGTTGCCAGAATTTACGGGGGGCAGAGAGCACAAACAAATGCAGCCGCAGGTTGGTTTGATTTAATATTCTCCAGAGACGGCTATTACTGTGTGTTTTGGAGAAGACAAAATGAGAGTTTATAGGAAATATAGCTCGGCATAGTAGTCATGGCTTGTTAATACGGTGTTATGAATAGGGGGACCCAAGGAGGAAAAGTTCGATGCAGGGAGCTAGCCCAGCCACGGCTTATTTAGAACATCAGAGAAGAAGGCACTGGAAAAAGAAGGGTCTCTTTTATTAGAAAATATGCTGCCTGCTAAATCCTCAGGCTAGTTTTTATGGGATCCTTTCCCCCTCATTAGGTGATGCAGCGAGTGTGAGCAGGCTCCGAGGGGAGGGACTGCAGGGGAAGTCAGGACATGGAGACTGGAATCTGGCCACGCAGCCACACGGAAGGCAGCACACAGATGTCTGTGCTCGTCACAGCTGCCTGAGCAGGGCTGCACGCATCAAGCAGGCGTGAGGCGCCCAGTAGGCCCTCAGTAAAGATGCGTGAACAAGTACTGGGACAAATGAAACATCTCAATTAACCCCCAACAACCCTACAAGGTGGGTGTTGTAGATAAAGAAGCTGGGGCTTAGAATAATGAGCTTCTGTGGGGCAGAGGGACTACCTTTTGCCAAGTCTGCTGGAAATGGCTATCTGGCATGCTCTCTTGAGAAGGATCTGGAACCTTCTGTCTGGTTCATCAAGGAAAGCATGTCTAAGATTGATCAGCAATGCCTGCGTTGGGTTCAAGAGGAGGGTGTGATAATATGTTTGTCACATTTTTTGATGTTCCCCAGATTAAATGACTTGCCTGGCTGTCAAGTTGTAAGGGTCAAAACCAGGGAGGGGGTATGAAGTGTACTTGTTCCTTTTTGGGTTTTCTCGGCATCACTTCCCCTGAAGGGCCATATCTTTGGGAGGAAGGTAGGTGAGGGAGGAACGTCTCCCCTCAATCGTATGTAATAACCCAACCAAAAAGTGGGCTTCCGGACTTCCGACCACCCATCTGGTTTCCTTCATAACAAGCGTGGTAGTCATCTGCTACCTGGTACCCCCTTCAGTGAAAATGGCTCACCGTCACCACCTTCACCCACACACCACACACAGATGCCACCCCTAGCCTGGTCGCCACTGTGAGTGAGGTGGGATAGACACCCAGGGGTGTATTTTATGCCAGGAAGTGGTGCTCATTGGGTAGTTTCTGCCTGAATGAATGCATGTTAAATGTCTCCCAGGATGTGGAGGTCTAGGCCAGCATCAGCCAGTAGAACTTCCTGCAGCGACACACATGTGCCCACCTGCCCTGTCCAGCACAGACACCACGGGCCACAGGTGGCTGTTGAGAACTTGAAACATGACTGATACAACTGAGACTGAATTTTGTTTCATTCATTAATAGATTTATCATTTTTTTCTTTTATTGAGTAACATCAGTTGACAACACCATCCAGGTTCCAAAATTACATCTTCTTCCCCCAGCCACTGCATATCTCTCACCACTCCCTCCGCCCAACCTCCAGTCACCACCCCACCCGGCCCGTCTACTCACCCCCTCCCCCTCCCATCCCTTCTTAATTTATTTGCAATGGAGATATAACTGACACAGGCATTGTATTTGTTTGGGTGTACAATGTAATGGTTCGATATGGAGCATCCTGAAATGATCCCTACAGTAGATCTAG